GCTGGGAGGATGTTTAGATAACTGGGAGGATGTTTAGATAACTGGGAGAATGTTCAAACCTGATCCACACTGGACTACAGGTGCACAATATTATCATCATGTAGCTTGTCCTTTGCAGAACATCGCTGTCATCACGGTCTGTATGAAAAAAAAAAACCTCCGTCTCTGGCAGCTCTCCTTGTGTATGTTCATACTGACGGAGTCACTTATTTCCTGTGCCCATATTGTGTTGGTCAACCCATGCGCCTCTTTTCTGGTACCATGCCTTCTGCTATTATTTTTTTCCAATCCACCACGGAGCTTGATATGACCAAAATATTCAGCTTCTGAGACAAGATGCTGTTTATTAACCAATCTTCCTTGACGTAAAAAATTTTTTTTTAAGTTTCAGTAATTCTTATCTTCTTTGTCTCTGGTATTTTTAGAATCATTCTATAGCATTTCTTTCTTAAGGACTGGGAGATAGTCCAATATAACTGTGCTTTATGGTTATACAGTTGATTAGGGTTTCTAGGATTTGTACCTGTTTGATTATCCTCAATGAGATGTAAATCCTACCGAATTTAATGCTAGATAAGAAAAGAAAAGAAAAACACACGCACACAAGCACGAACACGCGCACACCGCTCACGCGCACACGCGCACACCACACACATCGTACACGCGCGCCCGCACACACACCGCACACGAGCGCGCGCACACACACACACACACAAGTGATGTTTTCCTGACAAGCGGTTTTGTTGGACAATGAAATAGTGCAGCTGAAATGGTCAAGCATTATGTGTTGATGGGATCAAAATCTTCTGTCTCTTTACAACACCGGTCTCCAACCTTTTCCAGGTCGCGGCCCTTTCCCCCCTCCCCATTGAATATATAACAAGGACCACCCTCCCCCCCCCCTCTCTCTCTCTCTCTCTCTCTCTCTCTCTCTCTCTCTAGTGAATATATGACAAGACCCCCGTCCCATCTCCCTATTGAATATATTTCAAGATCCCCGCCCCCTGAAGAATTTTACAAGACCTCAATGGCCCCTGTCTCTCTCTCTCTCTTTCTCTCTCTCTCTCTCTCTTTCTCCCCCCCCCCCCCCCCCCCCCCCCCCAACAAAACAAACTGATTAATTAAGAAAAAGAGAACAATAGATTCCGCAAAAAGTGAAACAGAAAATATGGGGATAGTTTTGGTCAGAATATGTTCTTAATGTATCAATGCCTGTGTTATCATGCTAATTACATTTTTAAATTCAGATATAGGTACTAACTGCTAAAGAAAACGAAAAATCTCCTCGGTTTTGAGTTTTATAAATAGTTTTAACAAATATTATATTACTTTATTTATCATTGAACTGAAAAAATAATATAATGTGTTAATACAAATAGACATGCACTCAGTTTTAAAATGCTGCAAGCGATCCCACCCTCTACCCCCACCCCCCCCCCCCAACTTTTTCTTCCCTTTTCCGTAAAACCTCCTCGCTTTCGCCCATGCTGGAGACCATTGCTCTACAAGTATAACGAGTTTGGTATATCACCATCATCGTCGTATCGTTATTATCATCATTTTCTTCTTCTTTTTTCTTCTTCTTTTTTTCTTTTTCTTCTTCTTCTTCTTCTTCTTCTTCTTCTTCTTCTTCTTCTTCTTCTTCTTCTTCTTCTTCTTCTTCTTCTTCTTCTTCTTCTTCTTCTTCTGCTGCTGCTGCTGCTGCTGTTGCTGCTGCTGCTTCTTCTTCTTCTTCTTCTTCTTCTTCTTCTTCTTCTTCTTCTTCTTCTTCTTCTTCTTCTTCTTCTTCTTCTTCTTCTTCTTCTTCTTCTTCTTCTTCTTCTTCTTCTACTTCTTCTTCTCCTTATTTGTTTCTACTTTTAATGTCACCATTACTCCTACTCACACAACAACAACTACTACTACTACTTATTTTTTGTCGTCATTAATAATCAATAACCAAATGTACGCCTGCTTTGTCTTTCTCGTGACGTCTCTGTCTATCCATACATTTCTCGTGACGTCTCTGTCTATCCATACATTTCTCGTGACGTCTCTGTCTATCCATACATTTCTCGTGACGTCTCTGTCTATCCATACATTTCTCCCAGATTTACGGTATCTATCATGGAATCATGCACATAAAGAAAAGCAAAATAATGTCCCCATAAAAAACTGGCTGTCACCCAAAAATAACAATAAATGGTGAAGAAATGTCGCAAACTTTGAAAATCTAGGTTCTATAATAAATAGCAATGGAGTCTCTTTGATGGAAATTAAAAGGAGGATGGCCAAGCAATGCAAAGATTAAACAGCCTAAAAAGTCTACGGTTAAGCACCAGCAAGGGGATCAAAATTAGAATTTTGAGAGCATGGTATAGAAAGATTCTTAGAATATCTTGAACAAAGAAGAAGATAAATACTGGCATCTTGAAAGATCTGAACATCATCGTGTCTCAGAAGCTGAAATATTTTGGTCATATCAAGCGCCACAACGGATTGGAAAACATTATAGCAGAAAATATGGTACATGAAGGAGGGGTAGGAGCCGACCAACACGAAGATGGGCACAGGATATAAGTGACTCCTTGGGTATGAAAGTGCATGAGGCGGGAGAGCTGGCGAGAGACCGAGTTTCTTTCAGGCAGATCGTGATGAGAGCGACGTTTTGCAAAGGACATGCAACATGATGATGATGATCACGGAATCAAGGCCGAAGGGTCGTGATATCTTTAATACCGAGCCATAGGGTTAGCAACTCATGGTTTTTTAAAATACGTCTTGACATAAAAACAAATCTATATATTTTTCCACCTGCCTGCTTGTGATTTTGCTTCTCTGCTTGTCTGCACTATTTGTTTCTGCCTGTCTAATCGAACGGCAAGACGTAAGCAAACACACAGAGAACACTGACTAGAAAGCTCAAAAAAAGATGCACACACATACAATGAAACATTTCGACCAGAGGCGTTAGCAAAGGTTGAAACAACAAACTGCAGTCAATCCTACCTACACCCTTGCTAGGACGCGCTACTATTTGTTTTATCTGCAAACATTACACAGTAGATATTCCTAGTTTATGCACCCCATTGTTAGTAACAATGCCCTAAACTCGCGTATATGAGTGTGTATATATGAGTGAGTGTAGTGTATGTAGACTGACGCATACCTATGTTTGTCAATGCTCTATCTGTGTGCGTGTCTGAGAATCCCAGACAGAGGAAATTTTCTTATATCACTGTCATCACCTTGTGGGGTGCAATTTTTCGTTATTTTGAAGCCCTTCTCTGGCTCTTGCCAGGCGCCACAATATAGCCCGGTCATAAATATGGCCTAATGGTTTTACGCGGTTTCCGGGACCTCTCCACGGGTTTTCCTCATCCACATGGTGGCACTTGGTGTCATCGGGTGTTTATCGCTTGTGTGATGTCTTGGTGGGGTAAAATGTACTACTACTATACAAAGGAGAAATATATAATAATTTAAAAAAAATTAATATAATATGCTCTGTGTAATTACCGTAGTGTAACGGCTAGACGCTCGCCTGCGGGTCGGAATGTCGAGAATTCGGGTCCTAATGGAAACTGGCTTTCTTCAAACATTGACATTACATCCTAGGTCGACCTAGCCTTGAGTGGGTACCAGGTGCAGTCATGGGAAGTAAAGGCCGCTGGGGCGATGTTTACCACATCACCCACCAAGTGCCAATTGGTCTATAAAATATAAGTCTAATCTTATATGTCCAATACCCCTGAAGACGCGAAAACGGGTCGTTTAATTTCTTTTTTTAACTACTTGTGCGATTACCATTGTTTTGAGAACACTGATGCTGACCTGCACTGTCGAATGACAACACATAATGAACACCACTCATGCTTGTAACGGTCTTGGTGATAAGCTTCCCCCCCCCCCCCGGCCATATGTGGAATCTTATGAAACATGCTATAAGTGCCAACACAACGTATGGGAACCGCTATAGAGTGGTGTCTACATGCTCGCCTACCGGTCCGAAGGTCGAAGGTTCAAACCCTCCTGGTGGCGAATTTATTTCCAAATTGACCTTGCTTCCAGCACAACCAAGTCTAAAATCAGGATATGTTCTGTCATGGAAAGTGAAAAGGGACCGATAATATTGACCACTTTACCACCCATCGAGTGCCGGTGGCCTTTGAGAAAATGAGTAGCACCATATGCCCAATGCGCCACTGACGGAAAAAAAAGAGGTCGTTTATTTGGTTCTTTATTAATATCTTACTTCCAGATGACGTCACAGGACGTCCAACATTTTAGAGGGTGGTAAGACAGGATTTCCTGGCTTTCTGACGCTTTTAACGACTCCAGAAACATCTAGAACTGACCCTAACCCCAAACAACTTACGAGAGAGTGCAGGCTAGGTCCCACGAGAGAGTGCAGGCTAGGTCCCATGACTGAATGCAGCCTATCTACTTCTTTCTTCTTCTTTTGTCAAAATCTGCTTGTGCCGCTAGGCGTCGCAGTCTATCAGATGATCGGCAACCGAGCCAGGGCGCGCTTAGTCGCTTCATATGCCGTGATGTTTTGAAGTCTCAAGTTGTCCGTGACTCCTTCAATCCATCTTCTTCTTGGTCTTCCCCTGCCTCTTGGTGTTTCGATTTTCATGTTGTATGCTCTTGATGCTGGCATCGTTGGTTCCATTCTCATTAGGTGACCAAACCATTTCATTCTTTGCTTCTCAATAAATTTAACGATGGGTATGGTTCCAATAGTTCTTGTAATCACATCGTTTCTCACTCGATCTCTTTTGGTTTTATTCGCAGCCATTCTCAAACATCTCATTTCACAGGTGGTTAGTCTTCTCTCGTGTTCTTTTGTTAATGTCCAAGTCTGACATTGATAACCTAATGTCGGTATAAAGATTGTATTTATAATTTGTCTTTTTATCTCAGCTGGGACAGCAGGGTGTTTTAAAATTGGGGCAAGCTGGTATGCGACATTGTTGGCTTGTTGGATTCTTGCTTCGATCTCTCTGTCTATTTTACCATTGAATGTAAAGATACTTCCCAAGTATTTAAAAGCCTATCTACCACCCCCTGAAATATTAGATTGTCCCGTGACCTGTGGATTTTCCTTACTTGGGGTAGGATGTTATTAAAGCACCGTTTATTTTACTTCTTAACTTACACAACATATACTTCCACCAGGGTCTCTGTGTTACTGCGAGCTGGGAACTTTGATCCCCAGGTCAGGAGGCGAGTACTCATACATACGTGGTGCGTATGGCAATATGCTGGCATTCCTCTACACATGGGTGTCTGTCATCTTGATCAAACCAGCAGGCTTGGCTATCATGTCACTGACGTTTGGAGTAAACTTTTCCTCTGTGTTTGAGATGTGTGGACTTCCTGCAATGCCTCAGAAGTTGGCAGCTGTTACCTGCTTACGTGAGTAGATATGGTTTGTTTGTTAATGATGTATTTGTTTATTCACTCTGATGACCATATTCTCGTCCGTGTTTTTCGTGTTGTTGTCGTCGTCTTGTTGTTGTTCTTCTTTTTCTTGTTTCTTCTTATTTTTTTTTTCGTCGTCGTCGTCGTCTTCTTCTTTTCACAGCTTGACTGATCTCTGCGTCGTTCAGCCCAGCACATCCGATTTCAGTAATCCACATTTGGTTTCATCCTACGACATGCTTGTTTAGGACGGTTCATCTAACAACTCCACCCCACCCTCATGAGGTCCCGGAACCTAAACGGGGAGATAGCTGGCGTGGTGTTTATTTGCGCGTAGCTCATTTGTTTGAGAGGCACGTCATGTCTCTCTCTGTGTGTACAATGAAGTCGTTTCCCCGTGACTTTCACATGTGTGCCTCAGTCGAACGTATTCTTTGAGTTACTATAGACTGCGTGTGGGTAGCTGGTAATCATGCATGTCTAACAACATGTCTTGGGTATTGTTAATCATTTATGAAACGTACGTTTTTCCATGCAATGCTGCAACACTTTCCAACGTGTTTTCTCTGTCTGCCACAGCCTCTACCATTAATCTCCCTGTTGAAACTGCACACTCCATGTTTTCCCTTTTCTTGCGACGTGTACAAATAATGTAGCTCGTCCTTTTGTTACTTGTTATCCGTATCGACATCCTAGAACATTGGTTCCACCCATTTATAGCAGCCATCTGAATGTCGGGAACTCCCGTGGGCTGTTAAACGCGTAGTCGCTAAGTGGTTATTTAAGTGATAGTCCGTCATTTACTATCATCACCTACAGTCGTCCCATGGCCACAGATGTCCTTTAAGTCTATTTAAAAGTCTAGCCCTAATTTGCTTTACTTTACTCTACTAGTGACCATCATGCTGTTGAACTGCTACAGTATCAAGTTATCTGCCTGGCTCCAGATAGTGACCACAGTAGCCAAACTGGCCGCCCTGTTTGTGATTATTATCGGAGGCATTTACAAGATAACACAAGGTAAGTCTCTGTTCCTATTCTATTTTTGTTTTCTTGAGCTGAGCTGAGTCTATAACAGACATTACAGTACTCGGGACATCCCTTAAGCGCCACGTCGGTATCTTAAACAGCCAAGAAAGAATTCAAAATCCCGATAAGGTGGGACCTAGGCTGCATGCAGTCGTGGGACCTAGGCTGCATGCAGTCGTGGGACCTAGGCTGCACTCTTTAATGGGACGTAGGTGGGTTGAGGTTAGGGCCAGTTCTAGATGTTTTGGGATCGTTTAAAGTATTAGATAGCTGGGAAACCCAGTCTTACCACCCTATACAATTTTGGACTGTCCTGTGACGTCATCTGGCGTAGGATATAAATAAACCACCGGTCATTTTTTTTCTTTGCATGTGCATATGCTTGTGTGTATGCGTGCTGCGTGTTTATATGTGTGCGTGTACCTTAATGGGGTAATTTGTTTACACCTGCTTCTAAGTATTATTAATCTCGCTGCAGTTCTGTAACTTTTACGAAATAAGATTTTATTATCCCTGGTACCATCGCCAGAAGTCGAAGACCAGGGTGATGACAGGGAATCTGTAGAGAAAGAAGGCCAAAAATTAAAAGGGAAGATGCTGGACAGTTTGAGATTGACGGTTTGAAAGAACATCTGTATCAGAAATGATTGACACTACAAGAAACAATACTGTGGACAGGCATGATTTAAATATTACCCCACATGAACTTCCGTCTTCAGATTGCATCTCATCTGCTCATAGTCTGTTCAAAAATTCATAACCGCGAAAAAAAAAAACTAACGGACCGATTATAAGGAACTTTGTCACGACATAAATGACGTTAGGGAAATTTTTTTTTTCCACTAAGGAAAAATATTAAATGTAACTGTTTTTATTTTTTTTTTCTACTTTATATATTTGTCTTTATAGAGTTTTGGAAGATTTACTTTCATTAGTTTCATGAAGGTAATGTTAAAAAGCACTGTATAAAAGGTTCATCAGGGGTTCAAGGAAAATCTTTGTAATTTCAGAACTTTCTTGTGCAAAGTCATACTGTTAGTAAACGGAACCCAAATTAAGATGTCGTTCAAATTTTAGTTAAAGGCGTTTCCATATTTTAGTGCTGAGTTACTATGTCATATAGATGGTTTATCAAAACTGACGTAGACATCAATGTCAAAATGAGTCTGAGGTTCACATTTTTAACTATACAGTAGGTTACTGTATTACTGTACCCGCACTATCGCGGAGAATCTCAGATGGTTCATTTATATTGTGATTGTCATGACCCAGAGAAACGAATAAAACTGGCGCTTGGTCTGGATAGAGCATCATTTACAATGATGATACGCGTCTGAAAAAGAAATTTGACCTTCAACTTGACATACACATTTTTTTTTTTACTGTAAAATCTAAAATTTATTTCTACTTATTTACAACGCCTAGAAAAGACCAAAGGAATTAGCTGATTAGCAAAATTCTAAGCATCTGTGGATTAGAGAACATCATTTGTTTTACGTGATGGATATTCAAAGGCTGCATGCAAAACGTCATTGCCATCTAACAAGCAGTTTTCGAGAAAATAGACTGCAAACATGTTTACGAGTTTCTGAAAAGACTATAGTGAATTTCTCACATTGTGTTTACTACAACGGGAAAACATTTCTGGTTTGAGCTTCTCTTTATTGAAGGCTCTTGACTTGCTTTCGGTCGGCATGATGCTGACCACATCACCCAACGAGTGCCGATTGATTTAAAAATATAGATCTAGCCATAAATGTCAAATCAAATACACATAATGGCGTGGAAAAGGGCCCTTTACTTGACCTACTTTGTTATCTACTTTTCTTTATGGTCGTGTCTTATTTCAAGTAAATTATCTTCGTAAATCCTGAGTCCTTCGCGTCAGTCTCCACATCTGCTGGCATTTTTTATCCTATCCACGGGGTATATTTTCTTGTGGAAAGGTCTTTGTCCGATGAGCAAATATATGTCTTGCGACGTTTATTTCTTTATTGCGTTAAAACTAGGTCAACCGATTCGTTTTTTTTCTGGGGGGGGGGGGGGGGGGGGGGGGGGGGGGGGGGGGGGGGGGGGGATTGGATTGGAGGGGGAAATGTTCGCTTGTTTTTTTCGAAGACTGCGAAGAATACTTGTATAGATCACACAAGAAAATCCACACATACTGCGATCTGGGGTAGTGGTCCTAATGTTACAGTGTTATTCCCAATGCACATTGGGTGGCGAGGCCTCAAGGTATGGCGTCCGCCTCGAGTGCTGGAGGTCCCGGGTTCAAGCCCCGGTGAAGGCTGGGATTTTTTCACGTTAACTTTCAATATTTTCCCCTGGTCTCTGGGTAGTAAGATCAGATGCCCATGTGTGTTGTTGCACACGTAAAAAAATCTATTGGCAGTTCGAAATCGAAAAAGAGTAGCCTAACGGCGCTGCCCGGACAAAATGTGGAGGTAAAAATCTACCTAAAGTATTTCAGGATCCTCGCCGGTGCTACGGAGTTCGTGTACTGCACTGAGAGATTTCGAACTCAGCATGATTACAGTAACTTGAGTAAATTTTGTAAGGGGAACTTAACAGAGCATCAAATACCACACGTTTCAGTGGTATGTCACTTTCTAAAAGTCATCGCCAGCAGTACCCCCCTCCTCCAACCCCCGTGAGCTGCAGATTTTTTCATTGAGTGAGGAATAAGCTATCAAAATAATCGCTACGCATTCTTTTGTATCAGGGGTACATAAATTATTAGTCAAACAAAGATCCAAGAAATTCGCCGCTTCAAGAAAACAGCAGCAACTGCGCCGTATTACATTTTCGAATCGTAAAGACAGGGGGAATCTAAGGTTACATGCACAATTCGTGTTGATCCCTTCAGAAATTGTCCAGATATAAATTATAGCGCGCCGACATGAGTTTTTAAAGTACTATATGTATTTGTTTACAATAAAAACAACATTCTAAACAGGGCATTATTATTAATAGTTTGCATGCCAAATTTCAGTTACTTACACCGAACCGTTATAGGGTTACATCATTTTAAAATCGGACATGACTTTTGGAGCGGACTATGGTAAAATTCTGCCTATCACAGCCAACTTCTGTATCCTTTAAATTAGTGGTCTCCAGTCTATCTAATTCAGGTTGCAGCCCCCCCCCCCCCCTTTTTTCCCACTTGATTCTAAGACAAGACACCCCCCCCCCCCCCCACTTGATTATAATGCAAGCGTCCACCCCTTTCTTGATTTTATTGCAAGCCCCCCCCCCCCCCCTTTTTCCACTTGATTATAATGCAAGCCCCCCCCCCTTTTTTTCTTGATTTTAAGGCAAGGACCCCCATCCCCCACAACCCCCTCTCTTTCACCCCCCCCCCCCCCCCCGAACCACAAAAAAAAAAAAAAGAAACGTGATTAAAAAGAGGAGGACAGTAGATTCCGCAACAAGAGAAACAGAAAGTATTGCGATTTGATTTTGTCAGAATGTGTTATTCATCTATGTTAATTAGATGTCTGTGTTATTATATTAATAAGACTTTTAACTGTAGTTATTTTAAAAAAAATTCTTGTGCAAACAAAGAATCTCCTCTGCTGTTTATAAAAAATTCTAACAGTATTTTATTTCTAATTAAAAAAAAAAGAATCATAGATTATAACAAATACACATGCACTCATTTTCGAAATTGCTTAACACCCGCCGCTCCCCCTTTCCCGCTTTTAAAACCTACTGGTAACCAAGTGGGTGGGGGCGGTGGGGGGGGGGGAGAGACCCAAGTTGGAGTCAATTGCTTTAAAAAGATTTATTAGCTTTTCAAACAGATGCAGGCGCTGATCCGCTTTGATGATTAAGGAAACACCACACCCAGCCGTCATGCACCAACACTGACTACACATTATTCCCTCGTCGTGTCAGTTTATATAATTCTGGCTGGTATATACAAGTGGTTTTAAATGAAAACCTTAAAAATGTGACAACAATTATAAAAAAATATGCTATTTGTCATGCACGAAAATGAAAACCGAGTTCTGGTGTCCGTTGTTTGTTCCGTGAAGTTGTGAAACCTATGAAAATTCATCGGCAAATAAAGGTCTAGTATAGTGATGCATGACTGATCCAGCGAGTGTGTGAGTGGAATACGAAATTTCAAAACGGCTTGACTTCTACGACAGATTGTTCACGACCGGGTCAGTCACACCCAGTAGTGACCCCAGAGTTAGAAGTTAGAGACAATCACACACATTAGTGACCCCAGAGTTAGAAGTTAGAGACAATCACACACAGTAGTGACCCCAGAGTTAGAAGTTAGAGACAATCACACACATTAGTGACCACAGAGTTAGAAGTTAGAGACAATCACACACAGTAGTGACCCCAGAGTTAGAAGCTAGAGACAATCACACACAGTAGTGACCCCAGAGTTAGAAGTTAGAGACAATCACACACAGTAGTGACCCCAGAGTTAGAAGTTAGAGACAATCACACACATTAGTGACCCCAGAGTTAGAAGTTAGAGACAATCACACACATTAGTGACCCCAGAGTTAGAAGTTAGAGACTATCACACACAGTAGTGACCCCAGAGTTAGACGTTAGAGACTATCACACACATTAGTGACCCCAGAGTTAGAAGTTAGAGACTATCACACACAGTAGTGACCCCAGAGTTAGAAGTTAGAGACTATCACACACAGTAGTGATCCCAGAGTCAAAGGTTAGAGACTATCACACACAGTAGTGACCCTATAGTTAAAAGCTAGAGACTATCACACACATTAGTGACCCCAGAGTTAGAAGTTAGAGACTATCACACACAGTAGTGACCCTATAGTTAAAAGCTAGAGACTATCACACACAGTAGTGATCCCAGAGTCAAAAGTTAGAGACTATCACACACAGTAGTGACCCTATAGTTAAAAGCTAGAGACTATCACACACAGTAGTGACCCTATAGTTAAAAGCTAGAGACAATCACACACATTAGTGACCCTATAGTTAAAAGCTAGAGACAGTCACACACATTAGTGACCCTATAGTTAAAAGCTAGAGACAATCACACACAGTAGTGACCCCAGAGTTAGAAGTTAGAGACAATCACACACAGTAGTGACCCCAGAGGTAAAAGTTAGAGACAATCACACACAGTAGTGACCCCAGAGTTAAAAGTTGGCGACAATCACACACAGTAGTGATCCCAGAGTTAAAAGTTAGAGACAATCACACACAGTAGTGATCCTAGAGTCAAAAGTTAGAGACAATCACACACAGTAGTGACTCCAGAGTCAAAACTTAGAGATAATCACACATAGTAGTGACCCCAGAGTTAAAAAGTTGGAGACAATTACACACAGTAGTGACCCCAGAGTTAAAAGTTAGAGGCAATCACACACAGTAGTGACCCCAAAGTCAAAAGTTAGAGACAATCACACACAGTAGTGATCCCAGAGTCAAAAGTTAGAGACAATCACACACAGTAGTGATCCCAGAGTCAAAAGTTAGAGACAATCACACACAGTAGTGATCCCAGAGTCAAAAGTTAGAGACAATCACACACAGTAGTGACTCCAGAGTCAAAACTTAGAGATAATCACACATAGTAGTGACCCCAGAGTTAAAAAGTTGGAGACAATTACACACCGTAGTGACCCCAAAGTCAAAAGTTAGAGACAATCACACACAGTAGTGACCCCAAAGTCAAAAGTTAGAGACAATCACACACAGTAGTGATCCCAGAGTCAAAAGTTAGAGACAATCACACACAGTAGTGACTCCAGAGTCAAAACTTAGAGATAATCACACATAGTAGTGACCCCAGAGTTAAAAAGTTGGAGACAATTACACACCGTAGTGACCCCAAAGTCAAAAGTTAGAGACAATCACACACAGTAGTGACCCCAAAGTCAAAAGCTAGAGACAATCACACACAAAGTCAAAAGTTAGAGACAATCACACACAGTAGTGACCACAGAGTCAAAAATTAGAGACAGTCACACCCAGTAGTGACCCCAGAGTCAAAAGTTAGTGTCAGTCCCACACAGTAGTGACCCCATAGTTAGAATTAGGAGTTATCCCATACGGCTCGGTCTCTCTCTGCAGAACGGCTAGCCGCCTGCCGAGAACGCCGCGCAGAGCACGAACTCCGTAGCTCCGGCGATCATTAGGGAATTGCACTCATGGAATTGAAGGACTCTCCGTAAAATGAACCCACGACTTTCAGAGCGCGAGGCAAACGGCTTGACCACTTCTCCAAGGAGACCCCCTTCCCCAGAGAAATTTGCAGCTGTGAACACTTAACTCGACTTAAATCTTCCTTTTGTTATCATCATCTTGTTGAGCTGCTTATATACCCCACAGGGCTCACAGTCTATTTGTAAATTCCGTTTTTTTTTTCTCCTATGCAATTGTTTTGACTATTCAGTCAGGTCGTCAAGTGAAACAAGAAATTCAAGTATCTTGCTTTAACTTTGAGTTCAAAAGTTGTCTCTAGCCTCAAGTTCAAAACTTGCCTCCGGCTTTGATTTCAAAAGTTGCCTCTAACTTTGAGTTCAAAAGTTGCCTCTAACTTTGTTCGAAAGCTGTCATTAACTTTGACTTCAAAAGTTGCTTCTAACTTTGAGTTCAAAACTTGCCTAAAACTTTAAGTTCTAAAGTTGCCTCTAACTTTGAGTTTAAAAGTCCTAAAACCTCTCTCTCTCTCTCTCTCTCTCTCTCTCTCTCTCTCTCTCTCTCTCTCTCTCTCTCTCTCTCTCTCTTTCTCTTTCTCTCTCTCCCTCTCTCTCCCTCTCTCTCCCTGTCTTTCTCTGTGTTTTTAAGTGATTACCACAACTCACATTCATGTGTCGCAACAGTAAACAAAAATTGTGCATGCTCTCGGGGTTTGAAGCATAACTTCAAGGATCATTTCACCCCGCATGCTTCAAGTTCTACTTAACCTCGCCTCTACAAGAATACGCAGCAAATACTGATAAGACGGAACCAGGGCAACATATGTGGCTTTGTATGTCAAGAACAGCTCTTGAGAATAATTCACTTAACATGAAGTCACGTTTTCATCCAGGGACATTATCTCCCTGGTCAACAGACAACAGTAAATGTCCCTTCTCCACGGCTTTAGGCGTATTGGGAATACGGGGCTGGACCTATATTCTTATAGACCAATCGGCACTTGGTGGGTGATGTGGTTAACATCACGCCGGCCGCCTTTACTTCTCATGATTGCACCTGGTATCCACTCAAGGCTAGGTCGACCTGGGAGTCAAGGTCATTTTTGAAAAACAGTCCGGCTCCGAACCCACGACCTTCTGATCCGCAGGCGGGCGTCTAGCCGCTACGACACGGCGACTCTCCAATAGACAATAGATCTTCCTATAGTCTACAACAAGCATTTTAAACATACGACCCGCGGGCCGCATGCGGTCCTTTTCAAGCACACATGTTTTTCTTATGTGACTTCAATAAGTTGTCATGTGTTTCCTTCATGACAACACAAATGTGACCTATATGGCTCCTGGGGAACTCTCAGTTCGACGTGCCTGAATTACAACGTCTGGCGTTAGTAGTAAAGTTTGTCCACGGGCTTCTGATTCAGGTACGGTCAAACTTTTCAAATACAAATGTTACGTCACATAGTGATACAAAGGGCTTCACACTAAAACCTTAAAAGTGTTATACAAATTACAATAGTCACGAGACTGCCTTGCAAGCTGTCGGTACTGAAGTTAAAGAGGTCAAGATTCGTAAGCACGTGACATCACCGTGCAGAGAACAAAATGACGTCATAGTGACAGTTTAAAGGTGGCCGCCCCATTTTTGAGATGCACAATAGAGGCGTGGTGCACTTTTAACCGTTTTTTAATCATTGAAGGGGTGAAAAGTTAAAGTTAGTTGCCAATCCTTTACAGGACGTTGCAGAACCAACCCCAGCAATTATTGGCTGTGGCGGTTTTTCTAGGCAACTTGTACGTTCAGTAGTTTGCCATTGCTCTCTGAACGGTTAGCTCTCGGTACCATTGTCAAAACCAGCGCAAAACAAATCCTCCATAGCAGGGATCGAACCCGGCACCCCGGCATTACAAAGCGTGTTCGCAACGCCTAAGCCACAGACGCCGACGAAGGGGTGAAACCTGGAGAAATTTATCGGCAAAGAAATTCCATTATGGCGATGCAGCCTTCCCAGATCAGCAGTTTGTCGAGTTTTTGTGTGACGCCCCCTCGTATCAGGCTGCTCACAATCTCTTTTCTTGGTCCACCTCTAGCTCTGTTTCAGGTTTAACTTTTCTGTAAAAATTATTTAGATGTTGTTTCATTAAAAAAAAATGTTAGTCATTGTTTTAATAAGTATACATATAAAGTAAAATGTATTCAAAAACTTAGCAAAATCCTGAACAAAACAAGAAAAATTAGTTATTGAAAACCTGAATTGTTAAAGATCAAGATTGATCCATTTAAAAATTAAATCCTCTCTTTTTTTAAAATTTTTAATACAGTAGGCAAGATTTGCATTTGTTGCAGTGCCCCATCTTCCATACGTGCAGCTTCTTGTCTCGGACATGCGTGCATGCATACAACAGCCAAACAACATGTTGCTGGAACTGTGAAACGTACAGTTCCATTCACAGATTTGTATATATTTCAAACAAAAATAAAGACTACGAGAGATATATAAATAGAGAGAGAAGAAGAAGAAGAAGCAGAAGAAGAAGAAGAAGAAGAAGAGAGAGAGAGAGAGAGAGAGAAAGAAAGAGAGAGAGAGAGAGAGAGAGAAAGAGAGGGGGGGGGGAAGGGTAGTGTACTGAATGTTATCGATCATATCGAGGGAAAACAAGGGGTGTTGCATTTCCACAGTGATATGCACCAGCAGTCACTGATTGTTGGCACGGAATTGATATATTCCCGCCCACATATGGCTACGTTCCGCTGAAGATCGCACGTTGTGTCGTCTTCATCAGTCAGCAATTCATTTGGAGAAGGTGATGAAGTCAGTAACAGAAATGTTAAGATAATATAAGAAACACAAAAATGAATAAAACTATGTTATAAATTTGTTGATACAGGTTACACTACGGAAATCATGTCGGGATTTGAAGGATCGCTGTCGGATGGGGCAACAATTGCTTATGCTTTCTACAGTGCGCTGTGGGCCTATGATGGATGGTAAATGTTTTATAAGAGAAGTTTGTCAGTTATTTTGTTTCTATTTGATCTTTATAATTTTAGAGTTTTCAAGTCGTTACAGCACGATTCCGTTTTCCACATTGACGCTGTGGCCAAAAGGCACGTTAATAGAAAGTGAATATATGGAGATGGACGCTGAGGCACACCTCTAACCAGTTTGTTCACTTTGAAGACAAAAATGGTGGAAGGGGTTCCTGTCACTTGAGACCCTCATATTTTTTTAGAGCGAAGAGATTTATTTAAACATTGTATAGGAATTCTCTTTACAAGTATCTATTTATACATTTTATATTCTTTCACATTAACGTAAACAACTTCTGCCGTTAAGCGGGGTGGGGGGGGGGGGGGGGTGATTGCGATCCAGTGCTCGCGGCCAGCCACTGGCTATTTCCTTCTCGCGAAGGCGTAGAGATTGGTTTCACATACATACTTTTAAGGACACTTTCTATAACATTATCAGAGGCGGTCTCTAAGATCCCTTACAGAACTGTGAGAGATTTGGAGTTGGGATGCGGGAAAGGGAGGGGGGAGTCAAAGCAGTTTGACACCAACCAGCAAATTGACAAGTAAACAACCGCACAACCCATCAAACTAAAAAACTGCACAACCCAACAAACCAAATAACTGCACAACCGAACAAACCAAGTAACTGCACAACTCAACAAACCAAGTAACAAACCAAATAACTGCACAACCCAACATACCAAATAACTGCACAAGCCAACAAACCAAATAACTGCACAAGCCAACAAACCAAATAACTGCACAACCCAACAAACCAAATAACTGCACAAGCCAACAAACCAAATAACTGCACAAGCCAACAAACCAAATAACTGCACAAGCCAACAAACCAAATAACTGCACAACCCAACAAACCAAATAACTGCACAACCCAACAAACCAAATAACTGCACAACCCAACAAACCAAATAACTGCACAAGCCAAAAAACCAAGTAACTGCACAACTCAACAAACCAAGTAACAAACCAAATAACTGCACAACCCAACATACCAAATAACTGCACAAGCCAACAAACCAAATAACTGCACAACCCAACAAACCAAATAACTGCACAAGCCAACAAACCAAATAACTGCACAACCCAACAAACCAAATAACTGCACAACCCAACAAACCAAATAACTGCACAAGCCAACAAACCAAATAACTGCACAACCCAGCAAACCAAATAACTGCACAAGCAAACAAACCAAATAACTGCACAACCCAACAAACCAAATAACTGACAAGCCAACAAACCAAATAACTGCACAAGCCAACAAACCAAATAACTGCACAACCCAACAAACCAAATAACTGCACAACCCAACAAACCAAATAACTGCACAACCCAACAAACCAAATAACTGCACAAGCCAACAAACCAAATAGCTGCACAACCCAACAAACCAAATAACTGCACAAGCCAACAAAACAAATAACTGCACAACCCAACAAACCAAATAACTGCACAAGCCAACAAACCAAATAACTGCACAACCCAACAAATCAAATAACTGCACAACCCAACAAACCAAATAACTGCACAACCCAACAAACCAAATAACTGCACAACCCAACAAACCAAATAACTGCACAACCCAACAAACCAAATAACTGCACAACCCAACAAACCAAATAACTGCACAACCCAACAAACCAAATAACTGCACAACTCAACAAACCAAGTAACAAACCAAATAACTGCACAACCCAACATACCAAATAACTGCACAAGCCAACAAACCAAATAACTGCACAACCCAACAAACCAAATAACTGCACAAGCCAACAAACCAAATAACTGCACAACCCAACAAACCAAATAACTGCACAACCCAACAAACCAAATAACTGCACAAGCCAACAAACCAAATAACTGCACAACCCAACAAACCAAATAACTGCACAACCCAACAAACCAAATAACTGCACAACCCAACAAACCAAATAACTGCACAACCCAACAAACCAAATAACTGCACAAGCCAACAAACCAAGTAACAAACCAAATAACTGCACAAGCCAACAAACCAAATAACTGCACAACCCAACAAACCAAATAACTGCACAAGCCAACGAACCAAATAACTGCACAACTCAACAAACCAAGTAGCAAACCAAATAACTGCACAAACCAACAAACCAAATAACTGCACAACTGAACAAACCAAGTAACAAACCAAATAACTGCACAAGCCAACAAACCAAACAACAAACCAAATAACTGCACGATCCAACAAACCAAGCATCAAACCAAATGACTGCACAACACACACACACACACATATATACACACACATACGCACGCACACACGAACACACGCACGCACGCATGCACGCACACAGACGATACACAGACGACACCCAGACGACACCCAGATGACACACAGACGCACGCACACACACACACACACACACACACACTGACACACACAAAATCAACAAACCAAATAGTTAAACATCCCTGAAAATCAAACAATACATTTTTTTAAAACCAAGCACAGCTCAATGAAGCAGGGGAAAAAAACAATGACCAACAACTCGTCATTGAAACAAGCAAACAAACAAACAAACAAACCTACCATTTCAACAAAAATATATACCATACGTCAGTGGACAACACCTGACACCCACACTATCAAACATATGAGATACTATAACACTGTATCTTAAATATTCAAATTTCAGGAACAATTTGAACTATGTAACAGAAGAACTCAAGGAGCCTCACAAGTAAGTGGTACCCAGCAGTGATGTGATTACATGCAATGTTTAAGGTGTAGAAATACAGCATTAAAAGTCTGTGGTTTAAACAGCAGTAAGGAAATCTCCTCTTCACTTCCACCTTGTACCTCAGTGAAGTGTCGGGGTGAGATGTAACGTTCGTTGATGAGCTCTGTCAAGAGCATTCTTAAGATTGATGTTAATTTCTGTAAGGCTGTTCTTAACGCCATCACTCCATATTTTCTGAGGTCTTCCGCTCAATCTATACCCTTTGTCACACTTTAGTGTTGCTCACTGTGGAAGATAATATCAGGGCATTTTGGTTAGGTATCGAAACCACTTCAATTGTTGTTCTTTGATGACCTGTAAGAATGGCTTTATTCCTAGCATTTGTCTGATTTCTTGATTTCGTATTCTGTCATTCCTTTAATCTCCTGTTTCTCTTCTAAGGCATTCTAAAGTAAAGAAATCAAAATTGAAATGTTGAGATGATGCATCTTCCCGGTAGCAACATATGAGTCGTGTACTATCTTTCAGTCCTTAACAACGAAAATAGGGGTGTTGGAACTGAAATGCTATAGAAAGATTCTCAGAAAACCATGGAAAAGGAGAGAAGAAATACTGATCTTTTGACAGATTTGAACATCAAGGAAGATTACCTAATAAACAGCATCTTGTCTCGTTTTCCAGAAACTGTACTCTCCACCACCTTGGTCAACTACCAGGACATTTTCAATTCCTGAACTTTCGGGACAGGATGCTGTTTATGAGCCAGTTCTCCCTGATGTTCAGATCATGTAGAATATCGACGTTTTTCTTCTTCTTGGACCCTGGGATTCTTGGAATTTTTCTGTAAAATTTTAATTCAAAAGTTCCTGTGCTTTTCTTGAATGATCGACTAAAGAGTCCATCAGTAACAGCTATAAGTTGCCACAGGAGCAATACATGACCTCAAAATGTTTACCTCAGTTTGTTCACATGTGCTGTGACATAGAATATGTATGCTGGTTGATCTCTGCATTGATAAACCAGTCTTCTGACTTCTTTTGTGCAGACGCTGTTAGCTTTCTCGCCTTCCCTTCCTTAAATCTGTCCACTTGTCATCACTTGATCCAATTTTTACATTTCTTTTAATGTGGTCAAAGAATAATGACTGCCTCTTGGTATGAAAAATATAATAAAAATAAGCATCATATTCACATTCTTATAGGGAAAACAAATTGGGGGGGGGGGGGGGATTAAGGGGTCGTTTTCACGCCAGTGGCACAGAATTATATGATTGTAGATTCATCTTTGTATAGACCATTATCAGTACTCAAAAGATAATGTTGTTAAAATCACATTGGCTGAATTTACTTCCCGGAATATTTCCTAATAACTATTTTAGGCGAGCCCAATTCTTCTTCTTCTTCTTCTTCTTCTTCTTATTATTATTATTATTATTATTATTATTATTATTATTATTATTATTCTTTCACATTCTCACTGAGGTTTATGATGAAAGTATCAGCCGCGCCCATTCATCTCTATGGTTGGCCTTCTCTTTTCAGCTGATGACACCAAGTGTTTGTAGGTCTACCTAGATGCTATTTCCCCAACGTCTTCTCTGACCATTCAACTCCTTTGAGTACGCAGTTTTACCCTCTCTGTCATCTGTGGTTCTCTTAAAATGTCCCAGTTATTCAATTGTTAGCTGTCGTGGGGCCAGTGATCGGTGGTGATTTACACATATCATACATTTCGTTGTTGCTTCCCACCCTCCACTCCATGCTGATGGATCTAAAGATTCGTCGTTTCAGGTTTTGAGGTTTTGAACAACAGGTCAACATCATGGCACACGGGTGTAACCCATAAGTGCTCCGTTCTTCTTTTAACTCAAGTCTGAGTCTGAAGAAGCTGAACAAAGTTCTGTAGCACCGGCGAGGATCCTGAAATACTTTGGGTAGATTTTTAACTCCAAATTTTGCCCTGGCAGCGCCGTTAGGCTACTGTTTTCGATTTCCAACTGCTAAGAGATAATTTACGTGCTCAACAATGCACACGGGCGTCCGATCTCACTACACAGAGACCGGGGGTGGGGGTGGGGAGGGGATTACTAAAAGCTTAAGTTAACGTGAAAAAATGCAAGCCCTTACCGGGGATCTAACCCAGAACCTCTAGCCTTCGAGGCATACATCATGCCTCGATTCCAAGCAGCTTCCATAAGATTCGCCGCCAAACTCTGTTCTAACAACATACTAACAGTCCACAAATATATTATGTTATGTGTCTACAGAAACCTACCACGCGCCAATATTATCAGTATCCTCTGCGTCATCGTCATCTACGTGCTAACAAATTTATGCTATCTGACCGTTTTAACCAAAGCAGAGATGCTCGAATCTTCAGCCGTCGCAATGGTAAGTTTTGCTTTTCTAGTTCGATTTTTGATTTAGACTGGATGTTTTTTAAATGATTCATTTTTCTGGTGTTTTTAATAATGTACTTTTACATGTGTTTGTATGCCTCACTACCATATGATCTAGAGTATGTTAAGATCCAAAACCTCACATCCCAATAGGTTGAAACATAAAGTCGGGAGATGTTAACCAGCGTCATTGCACACGGTTATAAACCATAAGTGCTATGCCACCAATACGGACAGCAGAAAAGAAACTGTGTCGCCGTCCGAACACAACTCCGTAGCTACAGCGACGTTCCTCCATTTGCCCCAAAGCGTTAACTCTGGTACCCATTACCTAGAGACTGGGTGAACCCCGGGAACCGCCCGGTTTTGAACACCGGCCGTGAGCTGCAGCGAGTCGCAGCTGGATTTGAAAGCGAGTCTCCTATCGACTGCGCTAACGCGGCTGCCACATTTTTTTTGACATCACTCGTTCTCTATCTAATGCTCCAACCAGTGTACTTTCATAGCCAATGCATCCTAATTATCTTGTATCCACATTCGCGGAAGTCGGTCACTGCTTCGTGTTCCGAAAACAGCATCTTCCATCGCCTTTCTCTCCCGGCCATCACGATGCTTAACATGTCCAAAATACTTCAGCTGTTGGCATAAGATGCTGTTTACGAGCCAAATGTTCCTTTATGCTCAGATCATGTAGAATATCGCTGTCTCTTTTCTTCCTGGTCCACGGTATTTTAAGATTTTTTTTCTGTAGAATTGCAGATCAGACCCTTCATTTTTTTGTAAAACGACCTGCTGGGTGATGAAAAATAAAAAGGACTACGCCATAGGGTATACAGGTTATACACAGCTAACCCCGTATATTTTATTGACAACTGTGATTATACTGGGCTTGTCTTGGACCTCTTCGCTTCGTGGAATTTATTTCCAATTGCAATGCCTGCTTGGTGTTAACATTCTCGTCTATTCTCAGAATGTATGTAGTATTTATATATAAAACGTCTCTGTTTTATAACTGTTGATATCGGTGGTTGCCTAGACATCTCTGTTTATTCACTCCTTTTAATTCATTCCATGTTATGTTTATTCACACTTAAACTGCTCCAGATAAATCACTTTTGATGTCTATTTTATTTGATTGGTGCTCAGCTGTGGGGTGATCGAGTCCTCTACTCTGCCGCCGTGATCATGCCTCTTGCAGTGATGGTTTCCACGTTGGGTTCGACAAACAGCAGTGCTTTTTCTGGTGGAAGGTAAGAGTAAGCGGTATCATTTCTGATTTTTCTGTACAAGTGTCCCCCATCCCCTTAACCCCCCCCCCCGCCCCAAAAAAAAAAAAAAAATAGGGACCCTAAAATGTGTACCTGGTAAAGACCTGGGAAGTTAAAGCGGAAGTTGAATACATCGCCCACCGAGTGCAGATTGTGTGTAAAATATAGATAGATCTAGCACTATTTACCTATTACGCCTTGATGCACGTCATTCAGATTCGTTCTACTTTTTTCTATAAGTGCCCATCAATACATTGTCTGTTTGTCTTAATGCATGGAAAAAGGTTCTTCACTTGATTTTGCTATTAAGAAGAAGCCAAATACATTTAAAAGCTGAGGGTCCTGTACCAAATGTGTCTGGGTTTGAATTATTTTATCATTACCTCCGACCCAGCAAATAATGTGTACCATGAATTGTCCTGGGAAGGAAAGCTGGCCTGTGTACTTGGACCACATCACACAGAGGGCCGATTGGTAAACCCATTTCAACCTTCATTGCCCATGGGTCACCCCATCACTACCCCCATCCTGTGCCAGTAAAAAACCCACAGAATATCCATCACTATCCCTTGTAATAAAAAAATGGACACAGACTGCCGTCTCAGCAAATCCAGTATTAGGCAACCGTCATCAAGGAAAAGCGGGACAATTACACAATTAGACTGTTACTGTTGCCATCGAAAATTGAACCCTTCGCTTGCTGCTAAAGATGGGGATGAAGCGCTTGTGGGAGTGTCCCGTGCGCTATAATGTTGATTCTTAATTCAACAAAAGCCGCCTCCAGAAGCACAAATACAAAAGGTCTTACTCTAGATATGCAGTTTATCGTTGATGGAAGAAGCAGTAACATCAGACCGGTAGTTACACAGGCAGTTAAGTGCATAAGACACCACAATTCTTGTACGATTGGGCTATAAAATACATAGGTTTAGAATCATATGCCCATATGCTTCTGGTATGAAAGGACACAGGTCTTTTACTTTCTTTGACATGAAAACTCAGCGAAAGAAAAGCAGTGAAAAATAAAGGAATTGAGTAACGGATGTCTATGGATGGGGAGGAACGAGAGTAGAATTTACCTATTTAGTTCTGTTTTTTTTTTTTTTTCTACAGGTCACTGCTTTCAGCCGCTCGAGATGGAAACTTTCCAGAAGTCTTAAGTTTCATCAACGTGAAACAGTTAACACCTATCCCATCCATGGTGGTTACGGTAAGTGATCACAACATGACAGCATCCACTGGCTATTGAATTATCAAACACAGACATACACATACACACACACACGCACACAACTGTCAGCAGCTGCTTGTGTGTAGGAGAAATTGCAGCACACTCAATTTTCCCTCCATAACATTGATAACATTCTGTCCGTTCATACTTTCCAGATACTTTAACGGGATACAATTCCCAAGGGCAATGCCAGTAGCCATCCCCTAGTTCATGTAATAAAAGAAAAACCTGTGTGTGTGTGTGTGTGGGGGGGGAGGAGGGGGGGCTGTCGGTGGGTGGGTAGTGTTGGGGGTCGTGTGTGTATGTATGTGTCTACGGGTGTGTGTATGTCTGTGACACTATAAGCTTTAAGTTCCAGAGACAGGATGTCTGGCTGTGGGTGGAATCTAATCCATCACCTTTGGTCCCCTTTATCTACGTTCGTCTTAGTGTTTCTTTTGGGAATACTTGCTCTCTCAGTCTCTTTATTTCCCATGTTAGTGCCTATTTGGTGATTCTCTGCTGGTTTCCTCATATTATGTGGTGGGATACTGATACATGATAAGGCAGACGTGGTTAGCGCCTTGTGGGAGAGCGTGTCCTGTTGCAGCGGGGAGTGACGAGGAGTTCTGGCAGATGCTCGAGGCTCAGAGGAAAGGCAAGACAGACGTTTAATCAGAATGCTACTGGCACCATTAGTATCGGAACTCTTCGCTGGCTGCTGAAGGTGGTGACGAAGCGCTTATGGGAATGCCCCGAGTGCTGTGATGTCGGTTCTTGAATCAACTCAACTCATTTAATGTGTCTTTTACAGGGTCGTTTTCTTTGTCTAAAAACTGTTGTTACCAGTAATAATATTTGCTATACGTCAACATGCTTCGGCATTTGTTTGTGAATGCATTTACTTTTCATTCTGTCTTTAGTGGTTCTCAAACTTTTACTAGAATTTGTGAAAATTGTGCTAACGATATTAATAGTACTCTTGTGATTATATTTAAAGCGTATTATATTAACATTAAAAGTCGGCTCTTTTCACTGATTGTGCCAATATTCTTGTATCAATATTAAAGTACATTTGTACTGACATAACAAATGAAAATTAAAACAATATTAACAGTGCTCCTAGACTGATACCGCCGGTCTTGACAGAATTGTGGCGGCGTCCGTGGTTTAGACTTTGCGAGTCCGACTCGTAGTTTCAAAGTACCGCGATCGAAACCCACTGCTGGCTGCATGGATTTTTCCATGGTCAACCCAGTCTTAATTGGGTACCAGGATGGATGTCCTGGGAAAGCAAATACGGCTGGCGTAATGCTGACTACATTACCCACCTAGGTACTATTGGTATGTAAAAAGTATGGGTGCTGTTCCCCTATGCCCGATGCACCCACAAGGTGTGAAGATTGATTTTTACTTTTACTTACTTTTACTTGTCAGAGTTGTGATGTAACAACTGTGTCTGCCATGTATCGCCCAGATCTTGTTGGCTGTTATCTTTGTGCTCATCGGCGACATCGGCAGCCTCATTGACTTCTTCAGCATCTGCACCTGGCTGTTTTATGGTCTGACCTTTAGTACGGTGGTCTACTTCAGGTTCAAGATGAGGGATGCAGTCCGACCCTATAAGGCAAGTACCTACATTTATTTTACAACACATTACTTACAGATAAGTAGGTGCTGGTCTCCGTGGTCAAGTGGGTAAACAGTTGGCCTTTCGCTCTAAATGCCGCGAGTTCACTTTCGGATTTGGTCCTTTGTTTCATGAGTACGGATGTTCCAGAGATCACTAAATGTCTTCGCTGAAACAGGGAAGCTTTGACCTTTATATGAAGTATTTGACGGTTGAAGAATTGCTTTGCAGAGGCAGGCCAAGCCGTTTGAACTAATACCCAGATTAACTGGCTGACGTTCCACTCCTCCAGGACATCAAACAGAGATCTAAACACTCGGTGACACATAGTGCTACCATTTTTATTAGGATTACCTGGAGACAGGTTGCAGAAACACCGTTCACGCCACAGGCTGGGTTATAGTAGGACCCCCTACAACGGCCGGAGTGAAGCTTTAAAATGACAAAACGTGTGTCCCATATTGGGACGCAATTGTACAGCTATGACTAATACCGAATGTGAAGAAGGACAATCGTTCTATCACTTTGTCCCTTCTGGGCAGCTGCCTGAAGTTTTACTACCCGAAGGAAAAGCAGTCTTAATCAGGATGGTAAATCAACACAGCAGATCCCAGTTCACCATCGAAATAAATTATAATTAGTGCCCCTGTAACAGCTACTCAAACCGGGCTGATCTGCCGTCCTGAACTGACAAGGGACTTTACTCAGTAAGATTGTTAATTTTTTTCGGTGTTCCCTCTCAGGATTGCCGTTTGTCGGATTAACATCTCAAGGTAAAGAATAAAACCGATACAAATTCCGGAAACCCCTTTCAACCATTTAGCCATCTAGCATAGTTATATTGGTGCACCACAGCATGACCGAATAAATGTGATTCAATCCCACAAGGGCATCCACTAAGCGATAAACACCCGATGACACAAAGTCCCCCATGCGGATGGGGATCATCCTTAGAGAGGCCTCAGAAATCCCCTTTAGGTCAT